TGCCAGGAAAACTTCAAAGTTGTTTCGAAAACTTGATTCCTAATTTCAGTTCAAAATTGAACATGAAATTCATGCGAAACTGAATAAGGAGTTCATCCTTTCTGCTTCAGGAAGTTTAAAGGAGTAAACTCTTGTTCATGGCGAAGCTTTGCGGCCTCCTCGTCCGCCTCTGCAATCTCTTCGTCCGTCGGGCCCCGGCCGTCCGTGCTCCCATCAGCTAACCGGACCCGTTTATCGCCCTTACCTTGTGTCCATCGCTGCATGTAGAGCACCTCGTCGTCCTCTTCCTCGGCATCGACCGCGATCTCCAGGTGGAGGTAATGCTGGTGCGTCAGCAGCAGCTCGCTGGTTTCCACCATGAGCAGCGCGAGGACTCGCATAAGTCCCGCCATGATGGCCGGCAGGTCAGGGCTGCGCAAAGACCGGATCCATTCTTCCCTCGGTTCACGGGTGTCCGGGTCCAGTGCCCGCGTCACATCCCTTGGGTTGACGGTGCTGCGCAGCCCAAGGTGAAAGAGCCACAGGGCGCAGGCCTCGTCCAGAGCGAGATTGGGTCGTTCGTTTGCTCTCGGTGCATCCGAAGAGGAGGCCGGCGCGGGGAGCCCTCCGGTCGTCGCGGCGTGAGTCGCCGGACCTCCGTGGTGCACCTTTCTCGGGTGGTCCTGGGCCCGGTCCGAGATCTCGTAAGTGCCCTCGGTGGGTTGTTGCTGGCACCTCTGCCCCGATCTCTTCCTGTCCGGCCTTCTTCTTCCCAGCATTCTGCATCCTCCCAGTTGGCCGATCTGCCCCTTCCGGGGCGCCTGTCTCGTTCCATGAGGCTGTGGAAGTCGGTATCCTCCTCCACAGCATGGGCGGTTGTCTGTGCTGGTGGAACCTGGTACTCCCTGGCGGCTGCCCTGTTTGTCCAGCTGGTTCTCGTCTCTTGTGGCATGTTAGCCTGCTCTCGTAGGGCCTGTACTTGCGTGCTTTCCCATCCTGCTGCTGCCTCGGCGCGGTCCACATAGTCGTCCCACATCTCAGCCTCCAGCCATTGCAGGAAGCCCTGGGTGTCTTCCGTTAACCCGGTGTTCATGTCCATGTCGGCCTCGGGCGCCAGTCCGAGCTCGAGGAGGATGTCCTCCCAGTCATTCATGTAGTCTCGGACATTCCTTTGTGCTGCCAGGCGCAGCAGGGAAGTGGTCAGTTCCACATTGCGCACTCCCCTTTGGAGCAGCCATGCAATCCAGGGTCGCCCGAGTTGCAGCGGCGACGGCGGGCAAAGGATTTGCACTTCGGGCGCAAGCACTGCCGTGGCCAATGGCGCGAGGGCCTTGTAGAGCTCGAGGAGGGTCGTGGCCTCGTCCGGTTCCGTCTCCGCTGGCGCTTGCGCTCCTCCCTCCGTGGCCGGGTCAGAGTTGTCGACCTCGGGTCCGGGGCCTGTGGTAGCGTTCCGCGCTTCCCGTTCAGACCCTGCGGCTGTGAGCCCCGAGGCATTGGTTAAGGTCGCTCCCTCTTCCACCTGGTTTGCCTCGTGGTTCTCGGGCGCGTGCTCCGTCCTGTCGGTCGTCTCCGGGAGGAGGTAGTAGGCCTCGGGCGGCAAAGTCCCCCAATGTGTGCGCACGAAGGCCGCCACAGCCGGACCATACACTCGTTGGATTTCATTCGAAGTCAAGCTTCCGGATTTCCAGCCTGCCCACATGCCCAGTAAGTCCGTCATGGAGATCCCGGCCCGCTGTAGGTCTCCAGGTGCAGGTTCAGGTAGGCGAAAGTGTGAAGGTGCTCCGGGCCACAGAGTGGCGTCGGGCCGCTCCCTTGCGCCGGTGATGACCGTCGTGCTGGCCTCGCTCTCATTGTCCTCCTCGACCTGGATGTCAAGCTGGAAGGAAGCTCTGCTCCCCGTCATCGGTAAACTCACCCTCCTGGTAACCCTCGGAGCATCCCCTGATCCCGAGCTGAGTTCCACCGTCACCGACCTTTTCCTGTTCCCGCGCCTGCCCTGGTTGCACTCGCCGGCGTCGGTGACGTCCACGTCAATGGGGGAGCTCTCCGGGGTGTTCGTCGGGGGAACACTGCTGTGCAACATGATGACAGGCATTCCCGGTTGCATGGACTCGCCCCAGCTCTGGCGGGAACCTTCATGGCACGGTATGTAGCGACCGATCGTCTCTCTGAGGCCAAGGACCCAGCCGTTAGGCCAATGCCCCAGGAAGTCACTTTCCTGGAAACCCGAATCGCCGAAGGCGACGACGAGGAGCGCCGTGATGTCGGCCGTCCTGCCCTGCATGTGCCCGAGGAAGTAGCCTGCCTCGCGGTCAGTGGCCCGGTAGTCGATCCACCTGAGTAAGTGGTAGGCCGTTTGAGCTCGCTGAAATTTTGGGAGCTTCTCCAGGTCATGCTTGAGGTTGGCGAGGAAATCCGGCCAAGGGTCGTCAACCGGCATGTGCATCAGGGAGGTCACGTCCGTACACTCATCTAGTTCGACGCGGGTGAAGTTCACGTCAAGGGTGAGGTGGTCATCCGGCACGTGACGGCACGTGGTCGTGCAAGTCAAGTCTTATGGAAGTGTTTGTTATGTAGAGGGCCGAGGCGTCGTCCCAAAGGAGTGCCCCGACCAGGGCAGGCACAAAGTGTGTCCACATGGTGTCGCTGTGCGGGGCACAACTGGCGTACTAGGGCTTGGAGTTCCAGCCAAGTGCGCTGCAGGGCTGTCAGGTGTAGCCTTCATTCGCCCCATGCAGCCTCAGAGTCAAACCTGCAACCCTAGCTGTCTGCCGCTTGCCCAAGGGAGGTCCATGTGTGCTAGCCAGTCTTGTAGTCGTGTTTTCCATACAACCCTATCCCTTGCAACCTCCCTCCACGGCGAGCCTCCAGCAGATCGGTCCATGTCCCGCTCCAGGTTGGACAACTTGGGAAAATGCCTCGGGTGTCGCTCCCCTCGTGGCTGTGCCTGTTCCCGTAGCCACCACGTTCTGTTCTTGTAATTGTCTATGGTCGAGGCATACGGCACAACTTCCCTTTGTAGAGCCCTAGCCCTGTGCCCCGAGAAGTTCCACCACTTCTCAAGCCATATTGTTGACCATCGTTTCTGGAGAACCCTCCAAATGACCTGCCTCGCCCCGCGGAAGGCCCTCTGTCTGAGCTGTGCCCATGATTCCCCTGACCGTTTGCCCACCCTCATAGCCCATACTGTGCATTGCAATTGCAAGCTGTTGAGTAGTGCGAGCGACGAGGCATCCGGCGAAATCGCGCTAAGGCACCACAAGGCAGCGCCACCCACGATCTTCTCGAGCAAGTGTATCCGTCCTGAGAGTGGGGTCTGAGCACGGAGGAGGTGTTTATGGCTCCAGAATTTATCCCTTGCCCTGGCGATCAAAGGCGCGATGAGCTCGGAGGGGCTGGCTCCAACCCTAAAGGGGATACCCATGACGTCCAGCACCGGCACTGTGGGAACTTCGACCCCATCGACCTGAACTGCCCCGTTGTCGGTGCTGTAGGGGGACCTGTAGACTTTGCATTTCTTGGGGTTCAAGGTGAGCCCATGCTCCCGCAACATGTTTGCCCACTCCTGCAGTCTCCTCGAGACTTCCTTGGATGTGTTCGCCCAGAGTAGTCCATCGTCCATGTAGAGCAAGTCCTGGCACACTAGCTGCTCAAACAGCAAACGGCGCTCCCCCCAACCATTGGCCGCCTTGGTGTCCTTAAGGATGCAGGCTGCTAACCACGCGAAAAGTATCGGTGATTCTACCGACCCTTGCTTTATCCCTCGATCAAGTTGGAGTCTAGTTTGGCCCCAGCACGTCTTGAGCACCGCATCCGTCTCGCACAGCATGGCATGCCAGCTCCGATACGTGGGCCCATCTCCAAGGGTCTCCTTAAGTCGGGCCAACAGTGCCGGTCTGTGTAGCATGTCGAAAGCTTTACGAATGTCAATCTTGGCCGCAATGAGTCCTCTGTGCCACTCAGCCTCCAGGTCCATAATTCGGCCCATTCCAAAGATGTACTCCGCCGGCTGGCGTCCTTGGCCACTACATTGAGCCCCCTCACCCGCTTGTAACCACGGGATGGTGCGAAGTAGCAAGAGCCTACTGTAGACCTTGGCTGTGGCACTGGCCATTGCCAGTGGGCGAAGACTGCTGGGTTCGGTAGGATGCTGTTCCTTAGGAATCACAATCATGAGTGCCGAATTCCAGTCAGCTGGGACCTCTGCGCTCCTGCAGATATCATTGTAGAACTGTAACAGAGCCTCAGGCCCACCCGGGACTGTGAGCAACCCTTGCAGCAGCTCGTGACTCGTGCCGTCGATTCCAACTGCTTTGTTAGGTTTCCCTTGACCCACCGCCCACTTCAAGTCGTCCAAGGTGAAGAGGTCAACTTCCCCTCTTCATGGGGAGGCTGGCGGCAGCACTTGTCCTGTCGAGTAGATGCCCTGCAGGTGTTCATGTACCACAGCATGCGGGTCCTGGTCCTGGTTGGCTTCGGCAAACTCAATGTCCCATCCCACATGCTTGGTCGGCTTAAGTCTCCGGACCTCTGCCCAATCCCCTTTGGTGGCACGCTCAAGGCGTTCCTGTTCCCAAAGGCTTCTCGCCTTCTTTCGCAAAGCCCTCGCCTGAGTCCACAACCTAGGGACACCCTCGTGCTTGGCTCTTCGGAATGCATGCTTGACTTCGGGTGGATCAACGTATGCTACCCCTCGCCGAGGCGCCGTGTGCTTCTTGGCCAGCTCGGTAAGCCTTCCCTGTGTCAGTTCCCCCACGTCGGCGATCCCGCCTGTCCACACCCTCGGTTGCGTGCTGAACCTTGTGCCTGCTCGAGTTGTATGAAGTGTGATCGTGGTCGCCACAAGCTCATGGTCTGTACCTATGGCCGAACAAGACCCCTGAAAAATCCGAAGTGGCCCGGGGGAGCCGGCGTTGCACAGGATGCCATCGATCTGCTTCCCACGGCGGTTAGCCTGGCGCGGTCGGCTCGTCGGTGTTCTGAAGTCCTCCGGCGGCGGCGGCACCGGCCGCAAACCCCTTTGCAAGCACTGTCCCAGGAACTCCTGGGTCTTACCGTTGTTCCCTGTAGCCCTGCAAATCCCTTCGTCATCAAAGCCCCATCCCACCTCCGCGTTGATGTCGCAAGTGAGAAAGGTCGGAATCGCAGTCGGTGGCAGTCCTGTCAAGTGTTCCCCCACTTCTTTGGCATGTTGTGCCTGAGTACAGCCCGGCGTGAAATGTGCCGTGCCCGCCCAAATCTCGAGCCCCTGCACATGTCGAAGGCGAAGCCAAAGGCCCCGCTCTGTCCCTTTTCTGCGCATCACGCGCCACCGGTCGGGACGAAAAGCAATCCCTGTTCCCCTCCAAACGTCAAATTGTCTGTGCTGAAGGAGTGTCCACTGCCCGTGTTGGGCCGTGTGCCATCCCGGCTCATCTCGCGATAATTCTTGAAAGGAAAGAAGTGCGTCCTGCTGCAAGTTGCCCACTGCATCTGCCACCGTCTGCGGGAGATCGGTAACCGAGGCTCCCCCTATGTTCCAGGAGATCAGCGGAAAAATTGCCTGCAAATTATCTTGCATATCTGAAACCCCCGTAGGTGCATGCGGTCAGCGTCGCTGCCCCTCCAGCCCGTCCCTGATGGTGGCCGCCGGCAGTCCCAGCTCCTTTGCGATTCCCGAGACCCAGATCCAAGGCCTGTTGTCCTTATCCTCGTCAAAGAGCATGTCCTCGGGATGCAATCCAGGGGGTACCGGTACCTTGGCGCTAGCCACGAAAGATTGTCCAATCCAACCTCCTCCGGTCGCATATTCCAAGTCCAAAAGATCGATTTTCCTTGGTGCCACATGGAGTATGGTTCGCTTGAGCCAGGCAGCATGCGAGGCGATCTCTCTCTCCTCCCTCGTCTTGGCGTAGGTGGCGAAAAGCTTCCTGCCACCCGGCAACTTAACCTCGTTGTCGGCGATGCATTGGACCACTTGGTGAAGCCTTCTTTTGGTCTGATAATCCGACTCTCCTTGTCTATGTTCGAAGACGGCCAAAGCAGAGGAGCGCCTGGGTCCCGTGCAGAAGGCCTCGTTGTCAAGGAGGTGCTTGATCTGCAACCCCTGCAGGGCTTTGTCCAGACCTGCAAGTATGTCCCCCCGTCGTGAATCCCTCGGCCATCCGCCAAAGATGAGCGTCAAGCGCCTGTCTTCCACCCCTCGTCCGAATTGCCCTCGTACCGGTTTTTCGCGCAGCTCCTTGGTGAGTTCCTCAATCTTGGCCTCCAAGCTCTCCACCTTTGTCTCAACCGTATCCAAGCGCGTCTCCGTACCTCCGACTCGAGCAGCCAACACCTCCTCGAGACTCCCCAGCCTCGCTTCAAGGTGAGCGTGCTGCGCCTGCAGAATGCGGTCTGCGTGCTGCGCAAGTAGCCTTTCCAGGTCTTGCATATCCAGGGCAACTGTCCCCCGTGAGGATGTGGCCGGCCGCTTCGTCGGGCTCTCTCCCCCCTCCTCCAGCTCCCGGCGTTGCGCGGGGGAAGGGGGCTCACTCGGCACCGGGATTTCCTGGGCCAGGTCAATCTGCATCCTTTCCTTGGTTTTGTCTTTCCGCCCTCCACCCATGATCCTCGGCAAGCCGTGCCAAAGTCCCTGATCGCACCCTGGACGAGCCCGCGGGCCCTGAGCTTCCGCCCACCTCGGTCAGGTAGCCGCCAATCTCGCAGCCGAGGAAGTCCGCCACCGCCCCTTCGGAATGAGCACGGCCCAGAGGAGTCGAAGTCCCTTCACCCTTGCCCCCGGACACACCCTAGCTAGCACACACTTCCAAGGGGGCAAGATACACACGCCAAGGGGCCTTGAGCCAAAATGGCTTGAGCCAAAAGGGTTTAGGGTTTAGGGTTTAGGGTTGAGGGTTAGGGTTTAGGGTTTCGGGTCTGCTTAGTAGGGAATGGGGGAATGGGTTATAGGGACTACTATAAGGGACCTTAAGCGAACTTTCATAGGGATCCATTCCCCCATTCCCTACTAAGCACCAGACAGTCGGTTAGGGTTTAGGCTTTGGGTCTTTTGTTGAGGGTGCGGGGTGTGGGGTTTAGTGTTTAAGGGTTTTGGGTTTTTCAGAGTTTTGTGGGGTTTGGGGTTTCGGGCTTTGTGATGTTTAGGGTTTGTTTTTTGGGGGGTCTGGGGCTGAGGACTTGGCTTAAACTCAAGTCCAGATACTTACGGGAGTCTTCTGCCCTGTTATAAGTTTGAGCATAGCTGGGCTTCTAGCACTTAGTATTTTGCTTTCTTCACATGACAATATACCAGCATAGATAGGAAAAAAGCACCCCTACACTTAGGCGACCCAGACCCAAACCCTTACTAAGCCCAACATTGCACCTGCTTACCCTATAAAACCCCTGGGTTCAAAACACACCCAAGAACCTAGACCGTAAATTCTTAACCAAGAACCCAGAAAGCTCTAGAGATTGAGTTCCTAAACAACAAATAAACCTGAAATGACAAACCCAACCCCCCAAACAAGGCCACTTGATGTTAAGAGCCCCCAGTGCCATTCGTATAGAAAGCTCAAGTCGAACTCACGATAAATAAACTGGATGCGTGATTTAAGGACACCCGCCCAAAACCTGAGTTCTATTCACCATGTACACCCTAAACTGTAAAAACTCGAAGACTCTACGCCCGACAAAACATGAACAAGCTCCATAGACCTTATAAGCACTTTAGTCACTACAGCCCTAGAAGCCGTTATAACACAACGCACACAAACCCTATACGCCCTAATCTAGGGGCCTAAAAAAGAACAATACTATTTTTGGGGTTCCTTATTGTAAGTATCGTATGATGGGCCCGAAAACCCTATTCAAATTATTAAGGCCCCTATAATAAGCCCTAAGCCCTAAACCCTAAACCCTCCTAAAACCCAAAACCCTAGCCCCAAACCCTAAACCATAAGCCCTAAACCTTAAACCCTATAAACCCTAAGCCCTAAACCTTAAACCCTACAAGCCCAAAGCCCTAAGCCCTAAACGAAACTCTGGAGCCAAGGGGCACCGGGCTGCTCCCCTCATCGGCCGGCAGGTTTGCGGTGAGGGACTCCAGGGTTGCCTTTCGGGGTTATATAATATTATATATTAGGGTTTAGGGTTTAGGGTTTAGGGTTTAGGGTTTAGGGTTTAGGGTTTAGGGTTATTATATATTGTACTATATTATGTTAGATTGGATTATGTTACATTATGTAATATTATCCTGTACTATGTTACATTATGTTGTATTATGTTATACTATGTTATATTATGTTATATCATATTATATTATAGTACATTATATGCATGATCGTATAGGGTATTATTATAGTATATTCTACTATATCTATATATGTTTTTGAATGTTATAAAAGTAGTTCTCTAAATTAGGGTCCCGGTTGAGGATACTTTCGTATAAGGGTGCCGTAAGATCTTGGGGACCCAAAGTGGGACCCGAACTTCGAGAACTACCCATATGTTGTTTAGGCTTGGAAGGTCATGGGCTGATGTTTTAGGGGCTTGGGGTGTTGTGAAGGAAGTTAATTTAGGGTTTAGGGTTTTCAGGAATTTAGTCTAATAAATTCGTAGGGTTTAGAGGGGGAGTTTAGTTTAGGCTACCACAATAAGGAAACCATACTCTAAAATAAGATCCCCACGATGGTGACTTAAGCTAAGATCCTCAGCAAGAACCCAACTTTGCATGTGTTTCTTCAGCTGTCAGCAACATTGAAGATGCTAGAATGAAATTGTAATCGTGGTGTGGCTTGGGCTTTCGGGCTTGAGGTTCGAAGTGTGGCAATGGCCAGCTCTTGAATCGAACGTTGTATAACTACACACGCCATATTATGGCTTGCGGCTTTCAAGCGCATCAAGAATTAATTAGAACAGGGTTTTGGGAGGGCGTATTCATGCAGATTCCACTAAGTAATTGCGACCCAGTTTTTGAGAGACTTCAGGGACGAAAGAGGCCCATAAAGCTTGAGGCCTAAGGGTCGAAGGTCTCGGGATGAGGGTTGCGGGTTCAGGGCTTCGGGTTTAGGATTTCGGTTTTGGATTTAGGGTCTCGGGGTTTAGGGTGTATGCGTTTAAGTTCGAAGTCCGAGGACCGTGTGCCACGCGGACCATAGACTCAGTGACTCGATGATACGGCAAGCCATCGGAACATAAAGGCACGAAAAAACTTCCAACTACGTCCGCAACCCACAAGCTAAACCCTGTACTCCGCGACTCCTTTGACCTTGCGCTGCTCAAACGCCTGTATCCCTAGGTTGTTCAGTAACACATTGGGAAAGGAACTCATTTTCTGGGATAGTTATATTACAGTCGGAACTCAGAGACAACGAAATAAACAACACTGCAGTGTACACTGCATACCCTAGACCTTGATCGCGTTTTCTCACGAACTGCCTGGGCTGCATCGAGATTGTCTGCATCCGAGGTGATGTTCACCACGTTGCAGGAGGCCTGTTCGACTTTGGACGACAGTATGGAGCTCTACACTCCACACCCTGAAAGGTTTAGGGTGCGGTGTGTAGCATTTTGGGTTTTAGGATGGTTAGGATACGTTGCCGAAGTACCGTAGCCGTATGCGTGTATGTGGCTTTTGATGCATCAGAAACCTGGTTAGGTCTTAAGAGGATCTTGGAGGTATAAGCGCTATGAGAATTTGCGGCATGTCAGGATTGCCAAGAAACATGGCGACAATATTATCATGAGTGGCTGCGAAGCCTTCTCCTTCTGTTCCAGCAGCGGCAATGTAAATGCAGGACTCAGGCCAAGTACAAGTTTGTAACTGTTCGTAAGACCTTTTAACGAAAGCCCCAGGATGCGATCCACCTCCGCTTTTCTCGGATCTCGCTTTGGATCATCTGGAGTGGAAGTGGGAGGCTCCTCATCAGACCGGCACCCGTCTTCGTTTTTCTGTGGCTGCTGTGGCTCTGACGCAGGCGTGGCTGGCCCTGCAGCGGTCTGCTGCTGCTCTTGTGCCGGCTGCGGTGATGGTGCAGGTATTGCTGGCCTGGTCTGCTTGAAATCCCTCTCCCCCATTCACCTAGCCATTCTCGCAGGCTGCTCAGGGATTGGCGGCAGCCAGTCATGCCGCAGGCGGAGCCACTGATCTGGGTGGCATGGTGCTGAAACTAAACCCTAAACCCTAAAGTTCGGAAGCATATGGGGGGGTGTCCACGAGCTAGGGGTCCCTGTTTACAGGGCCAGAGGATCCAAAGGTAGTGTAAGGGCCTTTACAATTAGAAGAGGGTTTTTGAGGGTTCCTTTAAAGGCTTCCTTAAAGGGTTCTGTAAATGGTGCTGACCTCTTCTAAAACTGGTGCACACGTATTGAAGCGGAATACTTTATTCTTCACTCCAAGATAACTTAAGACTTCAGGTTTAGATGAACTTACTCTGGGGCGGCAGCCAGCAGGCCGCTTCTCAAGTCCATTCGGGCTTAGGTTTGGGGTTTGGGACACGAAGACCAAAACCCCAAACAACCCATCGGGGGGGTAGGGTTTCGGGTTTGGGGGTTCGGGTTTAGGGGTTCGGGTTTAGGGGTTAGGGTTTTAGGGTTTAGACCATGCGTCTATCCCTGCGCACTCTGCTCACTAAACCCGAAAATAGGATTCATAGGGTTTAGGGCTTGTAGGGTTTATAGGGTTTAGGTTTTAGACCGAGTCCCAGAACACCTCCACCCTAGTCCCTGCTCACTCAGGAAACGTTCGATCACAAGGAATTTTCGGGATTTGGGATGGTTCAGGGCTAAGGTTTAGAATGGTTCGTTTTAGGGTTCAGGGGGTCTTAGGGTTGAGGGTTCAGGGTTTTAGGGTTTTCGGATTTCGAAAGGTTTTGAAGTGGCGACTGCCCACCGTTTGGAGAGCTTTCTGAATCCTTTTGCTAGAGACTCTCAATAGCAACAGCAATATTCGCAGTCGCCATCTCCATATCACGAGAAGCTAGTCTCTGCCCTGCACCCTAAACCCTAAAGCCCTAAACACAAAAAAAACAAAGCCCTAAACACTTCACCCTAGAACCCGAAATCCTAAAACCTAAACCCTAAAGCCCTTCAAACCCTAAACCCAAAACCCTGAAACCCAAAACCCTAACAGAGCAACAAGCAGGCCTTGGTGAAGATGCAGGCCTGCAAGGCTTTAAGCTTCTGCAAGATCTCGTCCCACTTCCCGTCCTGCGCCGGAGTCATTCAGGTTTCGGGTTTATGGGGGTGCCTTCCTATAAATATATTCTCAAGGAGCCTAAAACCATATTCTAATTATTAAGGCGTCTACATTAGGCTTCTAGGGCTTTCAGGCTTTTGGGTTTAGGGCTAAGAGACCGTCTCAAACTCGAGTCTAAAGCAACGCAAACGAAAAGCTTGCAAAGAGCATTGCGGGATTCGAGTGGCGTCGGTTCAAAAAAGCAGTTGTCCCTCCACGACTGGGGTTGAGACATCAAGTCGTGGGGAACCCTTAACCCACTTTCAAGGAATATCCCACACATCTCGACGGCAACCTGAACGATGCCCACCAAGAGCATGTTCTATGCACACACAGAGACAAACAGAGACAGCGAGAGC